CCCATCTAACCTGAACACATTTCACCGTACCCATCGTACCTGAACACATCTCACCGTACCCATCGAACCTGAACACATCTCACCGGACCCATCGTACCTGAACACATCTCACCGTACCCATCGTACCTGAACACATCTCACCGTACCCATCGTACCTGAACACATCTCACCGCTTTGAGGTCCTGCACACAGAGTCAAAGCTGATCGGGGCATTATTAGTTGACGTTATTATGTGTAATAAGACGCAGCTTGCCTAATCCGAACAATGTATTTATGTAGTGGGTAAAATCAAATAAAGTAACAATAGGTGGAGTTACCCCTATGGACGATGTCGTGTTTGTGGCACCAGTGGATGGCGCGGATCAGCTGGAAGATGTAGCTGCGAACTTTGTCGGTCGGAACGCCGTTCGGTAATTCTTCCAGCAGCTCCAGCATGTTCTGACCAGGAAATATAAATATATAGAACACATCAGGATGAAGAACGGGGGGTAAACCTGGTGCATTGTATAATGAACAATGATGATGATGAAGATGATGAAGGACTCACCTTCTCCACGTACTCGAACACCAGGTAGAGTTTTCCGCGGCGGCGGAACGCCTCCTTCAGCTCCACGATGTTCTCCTGCTTCAGGGTCCGGAGCATCTTCAGCTCCCGCAGCGTGGTCTCCTTAACCTCCTCATTCTCTGCTCACACACACACACACACATTAATACTGGTGTAGAGGGGTTTATGAGGCTGTTTTCTCTGCAGGTCTGCTCTCACCTTCACTGTCCTTGAATTTCTTGATGGCCACGATCTCATTGGTGTCCTGAACACAGAGCAGAGATCATAAGATACGATCAGATGGAACTTTCTTTATCCCCGTGGGGAAACTCAGGCGTTTATAGCAGCAGCAGGGTCAGAGTTAAAAACAGGATTCACACAAGGTAAAGGTAAAGATAAAGTCAAATACAAAATGGTGTTCAGACTGAGAGCAGGAATCAGGCTTTGAATGTAAAGCTCAAACCCTAGCACTGGTTTATCTGACTCTATCATGACTCTCTGCTGAAATGCAAACATGAAAACCTTTTGGACGTCGGCACGTTGAGAGATTCAGTTCAACTGAGACGTGTTGAAGTCTCTCTTTAGCCCCGTTTCTCCTCGTTCCCCTGGTGTCCTACTTCCTGTTTCCTGCTGGCTGGTCTCTTTATAGCTCACAGCACTGCTCCAGTTATTTAGCCTTTTGTAAAGAGGCGGGACAGTTAATAAAACCTGACTATACTCTTTATCAGAAACCTCTAGGCGGCTGCTGCTTTACAAAAATATTAAAAGTTGCATTTTATATTATTTTATATTTAATCTTTATTAATGAGGATATAATCAATAATTGGGTAAAAGCAAGAAATAGAAGTGATAACATTTATAACTTTCTTATAATGCAGCATTTAAAACCAAGAAAAGACCCTGAAGATATTAAAATATATATATCATCATCATCATCATCATCATCATCATCATCATCATCGACTCCTCTCAAGGTGACCCACTTCCCAAAACTCCCCCCCCCCCTCACTGACAGACATGACTCTGGTGTCCCAGTTTGTGCAGAAATAACTGCACCCTCATGGGGGGAGGACTCTTTAAAGTAGAGACACTAAGTACTGATATACACCTGAACATCAGCAGGAGAGGACTCTTTAAAGTAGAGACACTACATACTGATATACACCTGAACATCAGCAGGAGAGGACTCTTTAAAGTAGAGACACTACATACTGATATACACCTGAACATCAGCTGTAGAGGACTCTTTAAAGTAGAGACGCTACATACTGATATACACCTGAACATCAGCAGGAGAGGACTCTTTAAAGTAGAGACACTACATACTGATATACACCTGAACATCAGCAGGAGAGGACTCTTTAAAGTAGAGACACTACATACTGATATACACCTGAACATCAGCAGGAGAGGACTCTTTAAAGTAGAGACACTACATACTGATATACACCTGGGGCCGTATTCACAAAGGATCTTAGGGCTTAAAGTAGCTCCTAACTGGCGAATTTAGGAGAAACTCCTAAGCATAATGGGCGTGTCAGTCTTAAATTTAGGACTCCTAATTGTATTCACTAAGAGCAATTCAGAAAGTATTTTAGGCCTAAAAGTAGCACCTAAGTTTAGGAGAGCTTAAA